ATGATCCCAGGGTCCTGGGATCGAGCCCCACATCGGGCTCCCTGCTCAGCAGGAAGCCTGCTTCTCCCTCTCCCACTCCCCCTGCTTGTGTTCCCTCTCTCGCTGTGTCTCTCTGTCAAATAAATAAAATCTTCAAAAAAAAAAAAAAAACTTTAAAAAGGCTGCATTCTCAACATCACTATTAGGTCATTGGAGCCTGACTAAAATTCGGGGTGGCCCAAGGGATATGACATGAGCCCCAAAAGCATTTGCTATACTCATATATCTAGAATCTTGCCATACACTCAAAACTCAGTAAAAGCTTTGTGAGTCATTTAATCAATTCCAGGGGCTCCCAAGGCTTCCTGTTCAAATCAGTGATCACCTGAGAAGTTATACATTGCCTTTTACAACCACATTCTAGAACCTTATGTAATTTTGTCAGGTCCACATTATCTTCGTAAGGCAAGTAACAGACGCCTTCTCATGTCAGCCTAAGCTAACAGGGTATTTATTATGAGACTATGGGAATATCTTGGGAATCTCAACATAAGCTTCAAGCTGAGTTTGGATGCTGCATGCTGGTTTTTCTTTTTTCTTACAGAGTTTAAAATGAGCCACCATGCTGAGCGGGGCTGTCAATCAGGCATCCACTGCTCATTGCCTGTACTGAGGTGACACTGTTGGCAATGGAGAGATGGGCGATAGGACCTGGATGTTAGAGATTAGCATTTTGCTGAGAAGGCACGTAAAGAGAAGTCCACATACAAAGCAAGGATCAAATGACTACTACTTACAAGTATTATAGGAGCTCACAAAAGGGGTATGCCACAGTGGTTGAGATGGTAAGCAAAGGCTCCATGGAGGAGGTGAGCTGGCTTTGCAAGGAGTTGCGAGATTTAGAAAAGTGCAGTGGAGAAGAGGAGGCAGGAAAGGACAAAATGCACAAGCAAGGGATCAGAGGAAGGAATGTGTCCAGTCCATTTCCAAGAAATAACCTGCCCAGTGGCAACTCCATCCACGCTGATTAACTCATTACCAAATGCTGGTCAGGATGGCAAACAAATCTATTAGAATGCTGGAAACGTCTTCCTGGTCTTTTCAAATTAGAATTCAATCATTGTCTTGCCTTGCATAAGATCTTGGAAACTGCACAGAATGTGGCTTTGGTAACATCCTGGGTGAAGTCTCTTACCTAGTCACAAACATAATCAATCTTTATTTTTTTTTAAGATTTATGTATTTATTTGAGAGAGAGTACGCATGCATGCAAGTGGAAAGAGCAGGGAGAGGGGAGAGAGTCTTAGGCAGACTCTGTGCTGAGCACAGAGCCCGATGTGGGGCTCAATCTCATGACCCTGAGATCACGACCTGAGCCAAAACCAAGAGCTGTAACCAGCTTAACCGACTGCACCACCCAGGCACCCCACAAACACAATCAATCTTAACTGGGATCAAGGAACACTAAAAATTCAACCACTAGAAAGGGGTTCAAACCCCCAAAAAGGGTAGTTTTTATTCCAGGGAGCCTTCACACATAGATATCTTTCCCAGAATTTAAAGATATGTATTCTATGACATTTGTATGACGGCCTTGTAATTCATTTTAACACTGCATGCTTTAAAATGATTTCCTTTGAGGGGCACCTGGATGTCGCAGTTGGTTGAGTGACTGACTCTTGATTTTGGCTCAGGTCACGATCTCAGGATGGGGAGATCTGAGATAGAGCCCCACATCAGGCTCCACACTCAGCATGGAGTCTGCTTGAGATTCTCTCTCCCTCTCCCTCTCCCCCTCCCACTAGTGCTCTCTCTCTCTCTAAAATAAATAAATAAATGTTTAAAAAATAAATAAAATTATTTCCTTTGAGTTGAAAGAAAAACTGAAAGTGATAGTAAGTTTTAGTTAATTTTCTAGTTCTTAACCTCCTTGTTCTTTAAGAAATGGAACACCCTTGACTTAAATCCATAAACCATCAAAAATCCTATTGTACCATGAGTAGTTATCATCACCTAAACATTACTTTAATGCAGAATGTAACAATTAGTTACTTTCATCACACTACTATTTTACATTGTAAAAATGCTCACCAAATATTTTCAAAGTTTAAAAAAAAATAGTTTAAGTATTGTATATTAACCAGGTGATCACTCCTTAGTTTTCTTTCTTCCTTCTACATATTTGTTAAGTAGGAGCTATGACCTCAGCCTTGCAGGAACAGCTCTTGTCTCAGCTCTCCTTCCTGGCATAACATGTGCTAGACTTCTCTCACTAAGGCTTGTCCCAGTCTTGCCCGGATTCTCTAGTCTTCTCTGTTCTGGGAGACCCCCATTCCCAACAGAGTCACCAGCTTGGTCAGAGACAGTTCTTTGTTTTTCATTGCAGACCCTTTGCTCATCCAGCAGTCTAACTTTAAAAAAGAGTAAGAAGATCTATATTGGGCATGTATCAAATAGTAAGCAAAAAGCAATTCTAAAGGGCAATATCATAACAGAAGAGATGAGTTATCCTGAAGTACATCAATGCTTTGGAAACATCTGTCAATAATGTGACATGAAAGCATGCTGTATGGTAGTGATGCTTGAGAAAGCAGGTTTATTATTTTTTTTTATAAAACCTACTTTTTTTTTAAAGATTCTATTCATCCATTTATTTGAGAGAGAGAGAGCACGAGCAGGGGGAAGGGTTAGAGGGAGAGGGAGCAGACTCCCCACTGAGCAGGGAGCCCGATGCAGGACTCCATCCCAGGACCCTGAGATCATGACCTGAGCTGAAGGCAGCTGCTCAACCGACTGAGCTAACCAGGCACCCCAAAGCAGGTTTATTTTAAATGTTGATTTTCAAGCCTAGAGGAGTCAAAGTCCATTCTTCTAAATGATTTATTAGTTCCTTTTTGGGGGGTGGGTGTCCATATAACTAATATCTGCCCAACAAAGTAAAGCAAGTATCTCAAATTAAAGGGATAATTCTACCTAACAACTAGACAGTGTCACCAACGGATGAGAAGTCCATTTGCAATGAGATTCTACTAGGCATGTCAATATCCAGACCAAAAAAAGAGGGAATCAAAGTTCTAAGAGTTACAGCTGGATTCATGAGAGTTTTAGAAAGTGACAAGTTCCTACAGGGTTTGCATTTTTTTTTTTTTTTTTAAGTGTTTAAACACTTAGGCTCCTTGTCCACACATCTCAGGGATGAGAGAAATTCAGGCTTGGTTCTCGCATTGAGACTATCCTGCTCTTAGCCAACCCTGCATTCCAGCAGTATCTCGACCCCCAGCCAGCCTTTCTGTGTAGCAACACTCTGACCCCAGAGTCAGAGTCTCTAATTCTGTGACTGCCCTGGCCTTGGAACCAAACAGACATTTTTTGTTCCCAGTTCTGCAAACTAGATACCTGTCTTTGCCACTCCCTTCTTCACCTGCCTGTCTTTCCTGCCAAATAAAACAATTCTCCAGGAGTGGGTGTCTGATTACAATCCCTGCTCCTCCATAATTGGCTATGCAATTTGGGATAAATCATTTAGCTAGCCTGAACCTCAATTTTCTTATTTGTAAAATAAGGGGTTTGGATGAGATGGTTTCAAAGGTCCCTTTGAATTCTAAAACACCACTGCCTTTCTGTCAGGCTCTCACGGAGACTGTGGCCTGTCTCTGATTGGTCCTTTGTCCTTTCAAAGAATGAGTAGCAATTAAGTGCACTGAACAAACATGTTACAACTCAACATTCTTTGTAAAATATATGCTTTCCTGTCAGTTGGACCCTTAAAGTAACTGTAGTTTTAAAATTAATTCTCCCTGGTCTAGAACTGGACCAGGTACAGAATAATATCATGTATCTTATTCTCACATAGAGTATGATATAGCCAGTGTTTTTGCAAATAATAAAACCAATATTGGCTAACTTATACAAAAAAGATATTTACTGGAAAGATACTGGGTGTGTCAAAGAATTCCAGGGAAACTGGAGAATTAGTCTTGGAAATAGGAACTCAGGGGTGCATGGCACAGTCAAGATCCCACCAGAGGTTCAGTCCATGTAGGATGCTGGCTCTGGCATCATCAGCCCTGGATACCTGTCACCATCCACTCAAGTCTTAATTCCATCCAGCCACTCTGAATGCTCTTTGACTGTCTCTGGCCTCATTACCCCTCCCTGAAGGGCCAAGGTCTCGGGGAAAGAGCTTCTGTTTGGCTGAGCCCTGGTCAGATGTCCACACAAGGGTCCAAGGAGTCCAAAGCTGGATTATCTGCTCCTCTCCAGCTTCCAGAGTAGGAAGCCTGATCCTGACCTCCATTCATCTGGCACTCACGAAAATAGAGTGTTCGGATGCTGGACAACCAAAACTGACAAATGTCCACTACACAGTTTTCTCACTTGTGATTACAAATTCAACACATCCTGGAGGCATCCATAAGAGGTTAATTATGTTCTGGAGAGGTTTACAGCTGATTGATTATTCCAGCATTACTTCATCTCTTCATTGATTTATATGAATCAGGGATTGGTCCAGTTAATGAAAACATATTCATCGGGATACTAATTTATTGGGCTGGCTTTTCATATTTACATGGCTCCTCTGGATGACAGAGTATCTGAAATGAATAATGAATCACTGGAAGGAAAAAGCACATCTTCATTCAGAGCACAGGCTGTTATTGATTTTTAAAGTAAAAAAATAATATGTGGTGTTTAGTCCTGGTCTAAAGTTCTTCACAGAGATGATGTTAATTTCCCTAAGACTTTGCATTGTCCTGGTTTTAGAGATCAGCTGGGATGTCTGAATTACCTGGAATTTAGGTGATAGATGTCAGAAGAGACACTAGAGCTAAGTCCTCTCAGCCTCATTCCAAAGCAAATCCACTAAGCCTCAGAAACAATTTTTCCACCCTGAAAACAAAAGTGGCAAGCAGACTCCCACCAGATTGCTGCCATTAGGTAGGACCCTTTCTATGGCCAATGTGGAAGAGAAATTTAGAAGAGAGAAGGAAAGAGAGTTCTGTCAAGGAGCTCAAGGACTGAGATAGTCTTCTAGAATAAACATTAAGTTCAGAGAGGAATTTGTCCGACAAACTGCAGTGGCATCCCCACATAAGAGGCCTTTTATTTTTGATATATTTTTCAGATATTCAGGGGCCGACCAAAGAAAACCTCCCTAAAGAGAAACAACCGGCCAGCAACCCAGAGTCCTCTATCCTGGAACGCAAAGCTCCTCCCTGCACTGGGCCACGTAGTGGCTCTGACTCCAGTGTCACAGGAGAAGTGGGTCCTTCCAACTGCTTAAGGAAGTGTCTACTGTGGTCCAAAGAATGGGGGCACCTGGCTGTCTCGTCAGTGGAGTGTGCAACTCTTGTTCTCAGGGTTGTGAGTTTGAGCCCCATGTTGGGTGTAGAGATTACATAAAAATAAAATCTTAAAAAAAGGAATGTATTCATTATGATACAGGTTTGGACACATATAGCAGAGACTCAAATAACAGTAGCTTAAATAAGATAGAAGCTTGTCTCTCCATGTAAAAGACTCTTCACTGATATGACACCTACTCGTCTTTCAGGTCTCACTGGAAATGTCCCCTCCTCTGAGAAGCCTTCCCTGATGTTACATAGACAAGCTAAGGTATTCTTGCCTTCTGTTCTCTGAGTACCTTCTAACTTCTCTATCAAAACAATGATCAGGGACGCCTGGGTGGCTCAGTCGTTAAGCGTCTGCCTTCGGCTCAGCTTATGATCCCAGGGTCCTGGGATCGAACCCCGCACTGGGCTCCTTGCTCAGCAGGAGGCCTGCTTCTCCCTCTCCCACTCGCCCTGCTTGTGTTCCCTCTCTCGCTGTCTCTGTCAGACTAAAAAAAAAAACAAAAACAAAAAAAAAAACACTTAAAAAAAAAAGCAGTGATCATACTCTGTGTTATGGATTGCTTTATTTTCCCCACATTAGAACTAGCAACACAACGGTAGGGACTGTGTTAATCTTGCTCATCAGCATTATCTCCAGAGAGCCACCCCCCCACCCGCACAGCACAGGTACTTATTTGATGTACTGAATGTACCTCTGCTGAATGTTCTTGAGGGTGGCAGGAATTGAATACTTCTGGCTTATCATACATAGGACTGTTGCTCAGAAAATTCCAAAATAGTAAATAGTCTTTATTTTATTTGAGAGAGCACGCACGTCGGGGGCGGGAGGGAAGGGACAAGCGGACTCCACGCTAAGCATGGAACCCATCCCACGACCCTGAGATCATGACCTGAGCCAAAACCAAGAGTCGGGCCCTTAACCGACTGAGACACCCAGGCGCCCCCAGTAAATAGTATTTTAAAAATGGGGAAGTAACACCCATTTATGCCCCTAGCACAGCTGCAGATTTGGAAGAGAGCAAAAATGAATATTTCCATTTGAAAGTCCTTAGCCTATAGAGCAGGGGCTAGCAAACTTTCCGTGAAGTGACAGTGAATTATTTCACGTTTGGCGGGTCATATGATCTCCATTGCAAGGAGTCCACTGCGCCGTGAAACTGGAAAGACAGCAACAACCAACATGTAAACCAACGGTGTGGCTGGGTTCCAATAAAACCTGATCTATGAATACTGAAATTTCACATCATTTTCAAATGTCATGAAATAATTCTTTTGCTTGTTTCCAACCAGTTAAAAATGTGAAAACCTTAGTTCATGAGCCTTGCAAGAATGGCAGCAGCTAGACTTGGCCCCTGGGCGGTGGTGTGCCAGCCCCATCAGAGAGCACATTTTTGACAGAGAAGAATCTGGCCTTGGTTCGCTTCTTTAGCCCCTAAGTGCAATTCACTTTCCTAAGCACCTACTATGGGCCAGCGGCTGCAGAGCAGTGAAGATGGTAAAGACTAGCTCGGTGCCGCTAAGTCCACAGGACATGGACCCAAATCCACAAACTGTGGTTGCAGCATCTGGTTGAAGGGGGGAGGTTACTTCATGACAAGGTGACATCTGAGGGGTAAGTCATGGGCCGTGTGCCCCCAGGAGCCAGCAGCAGTCTGGCCGTGGCTCTGGATGAATCCCACAGCGAATGCTGGGCAGCAAGGCTGGGAGGGCATGTGTCAGCTGTACGAGGGACCCTCAGGGACCAGCATAAAGCTTGGTCTGGTGGGCAACGGAGAACCAAAGGGGATGATTAAACTGAGGTAATTAAACTGGTACCAACAATGCATTCGTTTTTTAATGTTCTAACTTTCAAACTATTAAAAAGTGGTTTCTGAAACTATTTGATTCCTTTTTCTGTTACTAATTTACCAAATATTTCAACTGACAAATTCTCCTGGGAAAAATACCCAGAGTTCAAGGGCACCTGGGAGGGGGAAATGCCATCCGTGTTTTCCCAGGGGCCAGAGCTTATAAAAGGAGCCATTGTATGGAAAAAGAAAACAAAGCAAGAATAAAACAGGAATTTCAAATATTCATAAGATTTTGAGGAAACTGAACTATCAATCACACAATGCCCTCCCTAGCTCCACATTAATAAGAAACTCCTATTTTGTCCCTAAGGAGAAAATCACTCTATATACTGCCCCTTTCCTTTTGTCTCTGAAATGGGAGCTTTGTTGGAAATCATCAATAGGAAAATAATAAATCATTCTTTCTTAGCACCATAAAATATAGGAGGCAGGAAAAATCAACTCAAGTTACAAGGATGCAAACTGAATTCTCCTTCAATTGGCATAAAATGTCACCTTGCTCATCCAACCAAAAATTCAGGACAAGTCTCTTGGAGCGCCTCCTATTAAAAGATACCATCTTGGCACATCGGATGCTCAGGAAATGGATGTGACATCAATCTGCATGCAGGGACCATCTCCTTCACGCTGATGCACAGTCTAATTGGAGGATGAGGAGTCCGACTGCTGGCATGCCGATGAGTGGTCTTCCGCAGAGACGAGCAGAGCACTGCAGCTCTGCCTTCCACTCAGGAACTCACCTGGCTGCTCCTTTCTGCCAGCTTTACCCATCCTCTTTTCCCTTGCCCCGGTCACAGGATTCCAAGGTAAGGGAGTAGGTAAGCGCTGGTTGAGTGCCAATCACGGGCAGACTTCGGTGGTGCAAGATCAACGTTTCTACTTAACTAAATAATTTCCATTTTAAGGTTTTTTAATTGACGAGAGGTGAAATTTTTTTGTTTTTAAGTATTACATTTCTATGGTTCAAATTTCAGCAATTCTAGATATGGAGTAAACACAAAACGACACTCCCTCCCACCACTCTCCCTCAACCGCAGTTCCCCTCCCTACAGGTAGCCTATGTTATTATCATTGCCTAAATATCAAATGATGATAGGGGCGCCTGGGAGGCTCAGCCGTTAAGCGTCTGCCTTCGGCTCAGGTCATGATCCCGGGTCCTGGGATCGAGCCCCGCATCGGGCTCCCTGCTCCGCGGGAAGCCTGCTTCTCTCTCTCCCACTCCCCCTGCTTGTGTTCCCTCTCTCGCTGTGTCTCTCTCTGTCAAATAAATAAATAAAATCTTTAAAAAAAAAAAAGGATAGTCATTGTATTAGCTGAGGTAAAAGGCTGGAATGAGTAAGTCCCAAACGCAGTGGCTCAAACAAAATGTTCTTTCGCATATAACTAACCGTCCAGGGTAGGCGGCCCAGGTCAGTGGGTGGCTCTGTATCGCACACTCATTCAGGGATCCGCGCTTCCCGGCGGTTCTCCCGTCTTCACAGAGGAGTCCAGCATCGCACCGGATGCGAGAAGCGGCGCAAGGCAAAGGCCGGGCCTCTCCCCTTGCGCACACTTCACTCCCACTCACTCCCGGTAGCGGAAGCGTGGTCACGTGGCCACACTGGCTGCAAGGGAAGCTGGGAAAGGCCGCTCTATCCCAGCTGCAGCTCGGCTGCTACTCTTGCGGTTGTGCCTTGTTACTTTAAGGAGTTTAGCCCCCGGCGCACTCTCTACGGATCACCTTACAAAGCTTTCCCGGGCTCCTGCCCCGCGCGCCGTGTCCTTGTCGAGTGAGGGCGGCCGCTCTTCCCTTAATCCCTGAAGTATAGCTAATTTCAGGTGTCATGTTCAACAGGCGGCTATTGCAGAAGAGAACTGCCATGCAGAATGGCCATGCTTAGTGGGAGGCCCTACTAACTGCCCACCCAGCGGACACTCTCCCCTTTACCAATGTATTTCACTAACACTTTTATAGTGTTATGTTTTGTATGATTTATGAAAATCGACTCATTTAATCTTCACGATAACTCTCTAAGATAGGCACAGTTATGGTCCAATTTCAGGTTTACAGATGAGGAAACCGGCAAACAGAGAGGTTAAGTCATTGTTAAGGGTCACATAGAAACTTACGTTAGTCTGTCTTTTTTACCAACAGAACCTTGATTTTATTGTAATTTCAGTGAACTCTGTAAAAAAAAAATCTTGCTTCCCTCACAAGCAGAGGTAGCCATATGACCCAGTTTGGGGTCAGGAACCAAGGAAAACTATTGTTTTACTGAAAAGAAAAGAAAAAAACAGGAGAGATACAGATGGTGTACATCTTTTGCCCTTTGACCCTTACACTTCTCCAGCTTTGGAATGTGGACAAGATACCTGGAAGTCAAGCAGCCATTTTGTGATCATGAGATGAAAACTGAGGATGGCTGAACAGGAAGAGGGAAGGAACCAGCTGTACCAGCCATGGATTTCTTTGATATGTGAGTATATATACGTACATATACATATATATATTGAGAGAGAGAGAGAGAATATATATATATATATTGAGAGAGAGAGAATATATAGAATACATATATATAGAGAGAGAAAGAGAATGATAGAGAGGGAGAGAAGGAGAATCCCATTTGGTAAAAACATTAGAATTGGGCCCAAAGCCATCTTCACTGATATTTAAATCTAGATCCTCTTCCTGACTGCCTCAAAGTCCACAGGTCAATTATTCCTTTTAAGGGGTACCCCAACTGGCCTCTCCATTAGGCCCTGTATCTTCTCCTCAGAGTCCAACACTCATTTTCTCTACATTCAGGCCCCAACGCCAACTCTACCCTCAACAAGGTCAATCTTTCTTATCATAATGCCGAGCAGTTCCTCATGGTCTTAAAATTCTGAATTCCAGAAGAGGATTTGGATATACCCACTTAGGTTCTGAGGAAGCAGTCCTAAAACTGCGTAACCCTGCTACTCCTGCAGTTGTATTTGCTAAGCCATTTACAAAGTCCAAGTAAAGAATCATAGGCATCTCCTAAATTTTAGAAAACTCCAGCTTTTTCATAATATCACAGAAGCCAATATGCAGAGGGAACAAAAAAACGGGCCTCTCAACTCGGAAGGACTCAATCCAAGAGAGCCATTTAAATATTCATCTGCTAGGATATAGAGAAGATACAGAGGCCCAGCCCCTACCACCAGGGAAAAGATGGCCTGGCCTAAGGATTGTAGCCTAAGGACCAAGGGTTGAACACAAAACAGATTTTATTGCTCTCTGGTAACTTTCGAAGGCTATTATGAAACTATTCTTTAAGGCAACTTTCCTCCTATCAGGAAAGGCACAGTGTGTGGGACCTCTGTGGACAGCTAGGGGTTTTAAGACTGGGCACATCCAAATCTAAGGCTTACAGATTTTAAGCATGGACCCTTAAATGAAGGTGTAGCCCTCACAATCTTTCTAGCACATCAGAAGTACTTTTTTTTTCCTTCCCAGAACAGGAAAGCAATCTTCTCCCAAAGATGAATCAGGAAAATGCTGGCAAGCTTGGGAATAGCAAGGAGTCCATTCCCACACGAAGCTGTCAAGGTTTAGAAAATGTTGGGGAAAGGCTCAGCCAGGGGGCTTCCTGTTATGATAGGACAGTATGGAGAAAGAGGGAGACATGAAAAAATGACTGGAAAGAAACCATGGGGGAAGAAAATGATGAATATAGGGAGTAAAACAAGCTCTGTTTTGCTCAGTGTGACAAGAAGCTTACTGTTTAATGTTTTCCTATAGCCTCTCCTCTCCTACAGAGAACCTGCCATGAAAGATAATATTCACTGTATTTGGATCTTTTCTTAAATGAAAAAGGCCTTGAAAAATGTATTTGCATCTCAAGAGCTGAAACTAAATATTTTCCTGAATGGATGAGAAGATCTGGGCCATTGGCAGCGGAGGCAAGGAGGCGATAGCTCCGCCCACTGCCCACTGCCCACTGAGGACCAGGGACAGAGCCTCCCCTTGGCTCCCAAGCCAAGCCCAGCGGGTCCCAGGAGCTGGAGAGGCAGGAGCTCCAGAACCTGAGACCTGAGACACTCTCACCTCAGCTCTCCTACACCCACCCAGGAGGGTTGCCCATTGTCCCCAGTCTGCCACAACTACTCTGGACACACCACTTAAAGCTTTCAAAAACCATCTCTGAAACTTCTGAATTGTTCATTTTAAGACAGTTTATTTTGTTGTGTGAATTTTACCTCAAACATTTTTTTTCTTTAAAAAAAAAAAAGATATTAGATGGAGTTTGTGAAAGACAGGCGAAAAATTAGTCAAGAAGAGTTGCCTGTTTAAATGCTTCCCCTCCCCACCCCCGCACTTCCCTAGCACAGGTCATTCTCTCCCCCAAACCTGGCTTGCTCCCTCACTACACCACTGCTTCCCATGATAGTCGTGTCACTATCCCAGTGTCTCCAGTAATTACATCTGTCATTTCTAGTCAGTCAAACGTAGATAGCATCTTTTCACTGCCACCCCCTACTTTGTAAGATGAGGCTATCAGAGCCCCCGCTCTCCTGCCACTCACTTTCCTTCTCTGAACTCTCCGCTCTGCCATCTCTACTGTTATCTTTATATCACTGAGATTGATAAAAGGTTAGTCTCTTCTGCAATTATAATTACATCTTCTGTGCTTTCTCTTCAAAGTTAAAAAATCAAGTTCCAACTATCTATATGTTGTTCACTGCACTCTTTAATAACTGCTTTCCAAGAAAATTTCCCAGAACTGAAATACATGAGTTTCCAGATGTGAAGGGCTTACTAAGTGCCTAAAAGATTACATAAAAACAACCCCGGCCTAGGGCGCCTGGGAGCCTCCGACTCTTTGTTTCGGCTCAGGTCGTGATCTCAGGGTTGAGCCCAGAGTCTGGTACTGGCTCAGTGGGGAGTCTGCTTGAGATGCTCTCTCTCTCCCTCTGCCCAGCCCCCTTCGCACACACATGCTCTCTCTCAAATAAATAAATAAATCTTTAAAATAAGTATATAAATAAGTAAATAAGTAAATAAATAAATAAGTGAAGACCAAAGCGAGTAATAGTGACGTTTTAGAGCACTGTAGAAAAAGAGTAAATCCTACATGTTTCCAAAAGGAGTGGGAGTGGGGGTAGGAATGTCCCAAATAAAATCAGGAATCAGAATGGCTTCAGATTTTTTCTCAGTAACTCTGGGAACTAGAGGATAAAGGAGGAATGCTTTCAGGTTTCTGAAGGACAATTATTTTCATCTTAGAATTTTATACTCAGATAAACAATCAAACAGTGTTAGGGTAGAATAAAGACATTTTCAGATATGCAAGGACTCCAAATTTACCTTCCACATACCCTTTTTAGGAAGTTACTGGAGAGATATTATCCACAAATAGAGGAAGCGAATTAAGAACGAGGAAGACACAGACCTATAAAATGGGGTCCATCCAGGAAATCACAGAACAAAGTCCCAGGGTGACAGTAGAGCAGTGTTCCCAGGAAGTTGAAAAGGGTGAGGTAAAAGGAGATTCCAACAACTTGACACTGTCCTTGGAACAACTTAAGTAAGTGGTCAAGGCAGAGAAACCTAAGGGGGGCTGGGGTAGAAGGGAAGACGAAAAGGCCGGGGTAGGGGGAAGTTGTTCAAGACAGGGGAGCAGTTATTAATGATGATTATGGCTAGGAGGATGATAACCAAGGGATTTTTAATTCAAAATGGCAGACTAATCACACATCTCCTCTCTGTCTTGAGATCTGAATTAAATAGATAGTAGACTTATAGTATAAACCACAATTTTGAAGAGAAATGGAGGGGTTCCATCAATAGACCAAAGTGTTCAGCTTATTTCTGGAAGGCAGAAAGTTGATGGAGGGATTTCTGATCAAGATGCTTATCAAACACAAGCATCTACTGTTACATGTTCCTAAAACTCCACCAAAACATATTTTTGATGGCATAAAACCAGGTAATCCCACTGTATCACCCACAAGGTAGGATGTGTCCAATTTGGTTTGTGCATGTGGGTTCAGTTCTGCCTCTCAGCTCCCATGACTTCAGGTGTCAGTGGATCTCACACACCAGGGAGATGGAACAGTGCCAAGGGGAGCAAGAAGAGCTATGAGGATTGCTCTGTTCTGGTCCCATTCCTGAGGCCCCTGGAGTAAATCAGAAAGCTGCTTGGAGCCCTGCTGATCTCTTTGGTAAAACGGGGATAATAACATCTGTCCTAGCTCCTTCAAGATTGTGGTGGCTGGATCAAAATGAGGCCAGAAGGAAGTAGAAACTATATGGCCTCGGGGCACCTGGGTGGCTCAGTCAGTTAAGCATCTGCCTTGGCTCAGGTCATGATCTCCAGGTCCTGGGATTGAGCCCTGTGTCAGGCTTCCTGCTCAGCAGGGAGTCTGCTTCTCTCTCTCTCTCTCTCCCTCTGCCCCTCCCCACTACTCGTTCTCTCTCTCTCAAACAAATAAATAAAATCAAAAAAAAAAAAAAGAAAACTATATGTCCTCATCCTCAAATCTAGAGTGTGAAAGCCATCCATCTCCCTTTAACATTCAAGTTACAATGAAGGCATGGGCATGCCTGCCTAGAATGCAGGCTCTGCCATCCCATCCCATCTTCACCCTACCCCATAATTCCACCAGCAACGCTAAAAAGGATCAGTCCTCAGAGCCTGTAGGATGGACAGCAACATGGATGGGGTGGGACACTGTCTACTGACCACAGGACCTTACCCATAGTGCATAATGTGATCTGTTCACCATTGTTTTTTTGCTGTTACCAATCCTTCCCTAACATTTCACTTGGCAGGGTGCCCAGGCCCAAATCGACCTAGACTCTCATTCTCTTTATGAAAGCCCTTGGCCCCAGATATGTTGGTGACGCCAGGATCATGGTGGCCAGAGATAATTTTCCAGCATCAGACTCCTCCTCCTGCCTCCCAGCCCTGGCACAGCCCCTACGGCAACAGAGTCAATCCTCCAGGTGAATTGAATCTCAGGGCTTCATCATCCTTTTTTCTTTCTCTCTTTCTTTTTTTTTTTTTTTGTTCAGTCCAGCCTCTATCCATCCAACATAGCAGGTTTCAATACCCTGCTGATAGGTGTAGTAGAGTGAATAATGGCCCCCCAAAGAGGTTCACATCCTTGTCTCTGGAATCTATGAATATGTTACCTTGTATCACAGAAGGAACTTTGCATATGTGATTAAACTAAGGATCTTCAGATGGGAGATTATTCTGGATTATCTGAGTGGACCCAATATAATCATAAAAGGTCCTTGTAAGAGTGAGGCAAGAGGATCAAAGGGAGAGAAGGAAGCAGAGGGAGAAAAAGACATGTGACAACAGCAGCAGAGTTGAGAGAGAGAGAGAGATTGAGATTGGAAGTCAGAATAAGGGGCCACAAGCCAAAAAAGGTAGTCAGCCTCTGGAAACTGGAAAAGCCAACAATTGGGACTTCTGACCTCCAAAACTCTAAAAGAATACATTTGTGTTCTTTTAAGTCACTAAGTTTATGGTAATTTGTTACAAGTAGCAAAAGGAAACTAATAGAGTGAAAATTAGATCATCTGCTTTGGAAAAACTATTTTGCAATATCTGCAGAAGTTGAACATATATGGATGTATGTATGTTTCATAGGTATGTACCCAACAAAAATGTGTATATACGTTCACCAAAGACATTTACTATAATGTTCCTAGCAGCATTATTTATAATGTCTCAAACCTGAGAATTACCCAAATGTCTATCAGTAGTATAATGAATATAGGTAAATTCACACAGCGGAATTCTACACAGAAAAAAAAAAAAAAAAAGAACAAACTATGACCATTGGCAGTTTGCATCTCTTAAATATAATGTCAAGTGAAAGAAGTCAGACAACAGAGTAAATTCTGTATGATTTGATTGTTATAAAGTGCAAATATAAGCAAAAAATCTATGCTGGGTGAAGCCACTACCTTGCCCCCCCCAAAAGGGAGGATATGAGGGAGTCTTCCGGGGAGCTGCTAATGTTCTGTCCCTTGATCTTAAAGATGCTTCATTTTGCACAATATCATTGAACCTGTGAAATGTGCATCTTTTAAGATGTACTATACATAAATAAAAACTTTTTTTCAATGGAGGAAAGGAGACCTATGCCTTCATCCAAATTTGCCTCCTCGGGACCCTCCAATCTCCCCTCAAAAATGGGTGGGGGTACATGGTAACCCAGATCCAGGATTCCAACTCCCTAGAGCCCAACTCTGGGTTGGGCTGTGAATTTCCTTTACCTATTTTTACTAAAGGGCCCATTTCAGCGGGTTATTTTCTTTTTTTTTTTTTTAAAGATTTTATTTATTTATTTGACAGAGAGAGACACAGCGAGAGAGGGAACACAAGCAGGAGGAGTGGGGGGAGGGGAGAAGCAGGCTTCCCGCCAAGCAGGGAGCCTGATGCGGGGCTCGATCCCAGGACACTGGGATCAGGACCTGAGCCGAAGGCAGACGCTTAACGGCTGAGCCCCCCAGGCGCCCCTCAGCGGGTTATTTTCCTAAATAAAAGAAGCCTGCCCAGAGATAAGTTTACTTTCCCCCTTTGAGGACTCAAAACTACAAACTAGTTTTGATTGACATTAACTGAACAACAACAAAAAACGGTAATAGTCTTTTCTCCACCACGACGACCTCTGATAAATGAAGAGTTAAAACCACTGCAGCACAGTTTAACACATAAAATACACATTTCGTTAAATTTTGTTGAAGTGTTATATTAATGTTTTAATAATAGTGTAATAAAGTTTTAAAAATAGTGTAATAAAGTTATAAACTCATAACTTGCTCCCACCAACACCCCAACCTGAAGGGAGACTCAGACTCTACCTAAAGCAGGTAGAGGGACGAGAAGGGGGAAGAAGGAGCCGTGGGAGACAGACACATGGACCAGTCCGGTCGATTATGAACTGGAGGGAGAGATGCAGGCATGGCCAGGGGAAACCAGAGGCCGGGATGTAGGGGTGGCGGTCTCGGGACGATGGAGAAGACCCTATCGCCAAAGCGCCGCGGCTGCGGTGAGGGGTGTGTGTGGTTGTTGGGGGGGGAGCTACTTGTGGGGACACTGGGCGGAGCTTCAGAGACAGACTTTGAAGGCCCCAGGGTCCGAACAGACTTTGGCCCCGCCGCCCCCACCTGCCGAGCAGCTGGGAACCAGCGCGTCACTCCCAGCGGAAACGCCGCACCGCCCGGGCGTCTGGCGAGGTGCGCGCCTCCCGGCCCCGGCCCCGACGCTCCGCGGCTCCCGGCCCGCCGCCCGCCGCCCGCCTCTCTGGGCTGAGCAGGGGCGGGGACACGGCAGCACCTACCGGGATCTGCGACTCCAACCGCCGAGGAGCCCGGGAAGAGAAGCCAGCCCGGACGGCACCCTGGACGCTGGCGCGGAGGGTCCGAGCCTACCCGTGGGTGGGAGACGCCGACGCCGACTTGACAGCGCGTCCCAGGTTCGTGTGCGACGGCGTCTCCGCAGGCTGCACGTGGAGAAACTTTGGTTCGCCGTGTTGGCTGCCCGGAGGAGGTTATGGAGGGCGCTGCCCGGGGCCCCGCGGCCTCCGTGCGCCCCGGCCGGTACGCTCAGGCCCTGGGAGCCCGCACCTCCCGCGCACCCTGTCACTGCGGTGCCTGAGCGGGGACCGAGACCCGCAGTCAACCGAGGGCTGCTGGGGGACAGGGGCCTGTCCAGACTCCGCCCGAGCCTACTCTCGCGTCTCCCGCAATCCCTGTCTGTTCTCGGCTCGGGCTTTGCAGCGGCTGGGGCTTACACCCCGCGGGGATACGGGTTTCGTCTCCTGCTCGGCCTTGCAGCGCGGGAGAGTGGATAGGGGCAGCCCCGCGGCTGCGGGATGTCGGGGAGCATCCGGGCAGGGGCTCGCGGGCGCGGGTTAGCGCCGCAGCGGGAACGGCGCGCGCGAGGCCGCAGGAGCGCGCGGGTCTGGGGGTCCGACTAGCGCGCGTCTCCGCAGGTGCCTCCGGCCGCCGGGAGGCGGGAGCTACTGGCTGGACGCGGGAGGCGGGCTGGGGGCTGCGGAGCCGTTTGCAGTCACTGGCTCGACAAAGGGGAGCCACACGGGGGCGGACAGCCCGGTCCCGGCGTCTCTCGGGCGCGCACCGCCTTGGCACCCGGACCCCGAGCCCCCCTTACAGGAGGTCCGGGGTCCAGAGGTGCCCCTGCCCCTGCCCGGGGGTGGCGGCAATGGCTGCTCCCCTCGGACGCGCCCATTTCCCGAGGGAGGGCCGTGTTCTCTGGGCTGGCGGTGCGGGGACCGCTCCGCTGCGGCTCTGGGCAGAACCCCTTCACGTGGATGGCGATCGCCTCAGCTCGCCGGCTGCCTGTCTTGGCTCAGAGACGAGGCGACAGAACGCACATCCCGCCCCCATCGGTGCCCCGGCGCTGTCGCCCCAGTCACCTTCCTTTGCCCTTCTCCGACAGCACCACGCGCTCGCTCGCTCTCGCTCTCGGGAAAAACTGAGGCACCAAGCTTGGTTCCCGGAGCCAGCGGGGACTGTGGAGACACTGCCAGAATCCTCAACGGCTTGGAAATCCTATCACCTTGGTTCCCTGAGACTTGGAGGTATAGGTTTGTGTGTCTGTGTGTGTGCTGGGAGGGGTGTTTGCTGAGAGAGGTGGGGGTGTAGCCACCGGGGGGACCCAGCCCAGAGGCCTAGGGGACATACAAGTAACTAAAAGACACCAGCCCTTTTTTGGCTTTGTGTGGGGAAACACAGCAAACCTTACCAGCTACTCACTCCTTCCCTTGGGCAGTTTTGAAATATTTCTTCCAAGCTGCTGCCAGAGAAGAACACTTTCCTGGCAAGTCATTACATTTCCTGGGACAATCTGGCACATTTTTTGTTCTGGCTTTGGCCCTTCGCTTGCATGGCAAGAAGACACATGTTTCGCTTCAAATCTAAGTGCCATAGCCCCCACATCCTGGCCTTGGGCTGCCCACTGTACCTCTGGATTTTTTCAGACCTGTCTGGGAAGGGTGGGACTGCAAACCTCCAGTGCCTGGCCCATTCTAACTCAAGGCTGTACTCTTCTCTAGACCTGTGGGCTCCTTCATCCCTCTCTAGGCCATGGCAGTCATCTCTGCCCTTAGCTCCTCCGGGAGAGTTGAGCAGCAGACACCCTACCCTAGAAGTGACGATGTAGACAGCCAGCCTGGTAAGAGCCTGAGGCAGGGCTTGACAGTGAATAGGAAGTGAGGAAGGAAGAGTTTGTCACAGATTTTCTCCAAGTCTGCATAGGAAGCATCCCCTATTGACTATGTGGGAGTGGAGCCTGAAATCTTATTTTTAAGAAGCTCTCCATGTGATTATGCCCACAGAAGCTGGAAAACCCATAGGTGTAGGCACTTTGGCCTCCCATTGTCAGACCTCATCAGCCCAGGATTCATATGTAGTGATGCATGTTTAGAAACTGACATTTATTTAATTCCTAAATGGCAAGTATATTAGGATCTTCTAAAATTCTCACAGTCATCTTCTGTAAATATTATCCCCATTTTAGGATGAGGAAACTGAATCCCAGAGGATCAGTTTCCCAAGGGTTGGTAATTTGGGAATAAACAGAGCCCCAGTCTCTGATACATATAGCCTGCTGCCCCTTCTGAGCATGCTCTGGTCCCCTTGTGGGCAGCACAAAGACAGGATGACCTTGGGGCAAGAGTGAGGGGCTGAATTTCCAGCTTGAAACCCATTTGTTAATTTCCACCCCCCTTGCTGCCCTCTCCGACCAGGGCCCTTTATGGGAGGGAACACCAATCCTCTTTGGAGGTGGAGTACAAATCTCAAAGGAAAATAACATTTCTCTCTGCATGCAAGGAAGATGGGGTGGCTTGGAGAGAAAGAGCCACCGGGAAGGCCAAGCCTGTCATCTCCAAGAAGGCTTTTAAAACACCTCAGCCCATGTGGCACTACCATTGTTGATACCACTCAAATCAGGTACTCAAAACAGAACCCTACTCTGTGGGAAGCTGGTATCCAAGAAGCAAGGAAACATAAGAGAAACAAGAGAAAGGACATAGGAAGATCTAATTAAGTCCTGGTGAGCAGGCGAATAAGAGGAGTGACTGGGAGTTCTCCCACCCTTCCTTCTTAGGCCTCCTCAGCTGCCGTGGACTGGGGTGGGGTGGGGGAAGGCTGGACCAGGTGAGTGCTGCGCCCCTCTCAACCCCAGCATCCTTGCAGGGCAAGCCTTGGCCTGTATACACAGGACTGCAGTGCATGGGATCCACTCCAGATGCTTTTACTCATAATCACTGAAATATAATTAAGTGAACAAACACTGTAGGGATGTCTTAACAAGGAATTAAAAAACTAGACTCCAAATGGGAGAGATATGTGGAACAAATTATTGGTATTTATGTAACTCTGAATAGCTTTGATTTCCTTCAGTAGGAACTGACAGCTGGCTGACAAAAAAAAACTCATCCAGGGAGAGAAAAGACATAAGTGAAGTATGAAATTTTGAATAACGTTTTCAGGTAACTTTCTATTTCCATTCAGAGTGGGTGTCTAAAGGGGCGAATGTAGTTATTTGAATTGTTTCATTTATCAACAGAGATTTTTAACAGGGCTCATAATTCTAAGACCCAGTGCTTTTTTCCTTCTTTTTTCCTGGCTTCTAGTCTCCTGCTAGCAGGGCAGAGGTCTGGGAATTCCACCATTCAGCCTGTAAACTCTCACTTTATCACCTATTTTTAGCCTTTCTGATGGATCTGTTCAGAGCATAAATCTTGTTTTCTTGCCTAGGATAGTGGTTGTCTACTTGGGGTGGGGAAAAGTACCTGGGGGTCCAGTAGATTTGTCCAGAGACTTTGAACCACCCTCGCTGTCAGCCCTGCACCTCATTGCCACTTTCTGTGCTACGTGGGGCCTCTCAGCACTAAACTTCCCTGGACCTGTGGGTCAGCTGGCTCCTCTGTGGTGGGGCCACCTCCTGGGAGCTTTATGGCACAGCCTCTGCTGTGCTAAGGCAGTTTACCACACCGCCATCCCCGCTCTGTTTCCAAAGCTTGTCTGAAATCGCTCATCTGATGATGCAGCTCTCCTGCAAGCTTTTGTTCTTCAGAGTGTGTATTTTTTTAAATTCTTAAGTAACTAAACTGTAATTTCAGTGAGGTCTCGGGAGTAGAGAGAGGCACTAAAAGAGTATAGTAAATATGCCGTGATGAATCATAAGTGATGTTAAAGACATTCTAATTTTAAAATAAAAAGCAATTTGTCCAGCTGTTTAATAATTAATCTATAATATGCTGAAACTATTGTATTTGGAAATTATAAGGAAAATACATTTAAGGCTATCTTTTTTCCATATTCACTTAATAGATTCCATTTATGTTTACAAAGAATTATTTACAGATCTTTAAAAAAATGTTAAATATTTTATCTGTTATTTAAGTAGCCTGTGAATTAGAGACATGATATAAATAAAAGAAGGCTAAATTCTGAGATAAAATTTTTAAAAAGAATACATTGCCTAGTGAGGCACAATAGGAAAGTCTTTTTTTAGACATCTGATTTCATCACCTCATCCCACCCCCTCCCTACCTTGAATGAAGGTTAGATCCTTGTCATGTTACAGAGGAGGGACCCAAGACTGAGAGCCTGAGACATCTGACTGTGGTATACAGCTTGTAAATAGGGGAATCAGGATGGAAATGTGGGTCTGTCTGAGTCCTGAACTTTCTCCAGTTGAACTGCTATCTATTTGGCAGGTATAACTGAATGTGGGGGTTATTTATATGCTATATTATAACAAAGGGTCTGACTGAATGTTAATACAGTATCAGCATTGGGTACTCAGTGAGGATGTTTCACAGAATGAGACAGGAAGCAAGAACATTCCTGAACTAGGATAACTGTAGGCTAGAGAAGTGATCTTCGTCACAGGTAGGGCTTAGCTCTATGAAGAGTAGATAAATAGAGCTTCAGTTTCAGCATTTTTGATGTGCAAATGGATGACCATGATAAAAGAATTGAAAGAGAGTAAAGGCATAAAGACAAGGGGATTGTTCGAGTAAGGAACTGAATATGAGACACTAGGAAAACAAACATGTGTACATGTGGACAATAAAGTATCTGACAGCTTTTTTTCTCTGTGAATTTTAATTTTAAACAATTTTAGAATTGTTCTATTAAATGTGAACAATTTAAAAAGTGAGCAACCCAAGGGGTTTTAGAAGTCTTTAAAATGAACCAAGAGGGCGCCTGGGTGGCTCAGTCGTTAAGCGTCTGCCTTTGGCTCAGGTCAGGATCCCAGGGTCCTGGGATCGAGCCCCACATCAGGCTCCCTGCTCCACAGGAAGCCTGCTTCTTCCTCTCCCACTCACCCTGCTTGTGCGCTCTCTGTCTCTCTGTCTCTCTCTCTCTGTCAAATAAATAAAATCTTAAAAACAAAAACAAAAACCTTAAAAAAAACAAACAAAATAAAATAAAAATAAAATAAAATAAAATAAAATGAACCAAGAGTAAGGCTTTGTTGTGGCTGGTTTTTTTTCTAGACAGTTCTAGAGGGGATATGCCTACATCCACGAGACAGATTCACTAGTTGCCAGTAGCTAGTGGTGCCACTGCCCAGCTTCTTCAGAGAGCCCTGGAGCCCACAGCACCAGCCCTTTCCACAGGACCACAGTGGGGCCACTGCCCCCTTCAAGCAGCCAAGCTGGCAGTACCTTGCCAGTTCCCCTTCTTTTCCCAGAACCTTCTGAAGCTAATCTTGGTGAGAGAAAGTTATGACAGAAAGTGGTCAGGTTTAGTGTTGTAGAGAAAGCCTTCACATGAGGGTGGGTGAAAAGATTCGAAAGTCTTTCCAAAAGATTCTTATAAGACTTTTTTTAAAAATAAACAAACAAGCAAGACTGGCCCCAAAACTAGAAACTATATGAGAATACAGTATTGAAACCTACGGGGCACCTGGGTGGCTCAGTTGGTTAAGTGTCTGCCTTCAGCTCAGGGTCCTGGGATTGAGCCCTGTGTTGGGCGGGGAGCCTGCTTCTCCCTCTCCCTTTGCTGCTCCCCCTGTTTGTGCTCTCTCTCTCTCTTTCTCTCTCCCTGTCAAATAAATAAATAAAATCTTAAAAAAAAAAAAGAAATCTGCTATCTGGCAACTCGTTCTCATTTGAATATGTTTCTCAAATGCCACTTTTGGTCAAAGGTGTTTTTATGTGATTGATACTCTATCTCTTCTCCAACTGTGGTTATTAAATGATTTCTATATTTGATATTATGTTCCAGCTAATTTCTCTACATCTCTTTGCTTTATTAAACACATTAGTACTGGGGTGCCTGTGTGGCTCAGTCGTTAAGCGTCTGCCTTCGGCTCAGGTCATGATCCCAGGGTCCTGGGATCGAGCCCCGCACCAGGCTCCCTGCACCATGGGAAGTCTGCTTCTCCTTCTCCCACTCCCCCTGCTTGTGTTCCCTCTCTCTCTGTGTCTCTCTGTGAAATAAATAAATAAATAAAATCTTTAAAAAAAAATAAAAATAAATAAACACATTAGTATATGAAAAATGCAACAAAAGGTTTCTTTTGTGAACTCTTTTCAGATGCTTTGCATTCAGAATAGACCTCTGTTGGGACCCAAGCTGTCAACCAATCCTAAATTCCTAAGGTCCCAAATTGCAGGTGTGCCTCGCTTTGGAATGGCTTTTATAGAATGTTGCACAGGGGGACAAAAAGCGCAGCATTCACTTTCATTGTATTTATGTATGTATATTGAATAGTTCTTTGCTTAACATAATGAGTGATACTAAAGTAGAATGATAAGTATATTCTTTTGAATACTGCCTTTCAGGAGCTCCCTAGTTGAAAGTCCTTGAAAGTCTAGGCATAAATACTATTGATAATACCACAAAACTGAATGATGTTGTAAAAAGTTATAACCTCATATGGCTCTTTTAAAATTTTAATTATGGAACAGGGCACCTGGGTGGCTCAGTCTGCCTTCAGCTCAGGTCATGATCCCAGGGGCCTGAGATCAAGCCCCGCATGGGTCTCCCTGCTCAGCGGGGAGTCTGCTGCTCCCTCTCCCTCTGCCCCTCCCCTCTCCTCATGCTCTCTCTCTCAGAGGCTCTCTGTCTCTCAAATAAATAAAATCTTAAAAAAATATATAGGTACTGTGTTAAAAAGGAACAGAGACGCAGTCAGGACAAAGCACATAGAGATAAGAGCTGAGGGCAGGGTCACCTGGGCATTTGGTTCTCAGTTAATAAGATAGTAAAATGACAGTATGATCTCAGAGATGATGTGCACATCCATCATCCTGACCCCTCACCATCTTCCTGGAGATATTTTGTACTTCTCCTCTAAGATGATCTCCAGCCTCTGGTATCTTGTTTCCTCTTTCTTCTTCTACCATTTCATCTTTGTAGATTATATCCTTCAGTACATTCTTAAGAGTATCTCAATTCTTGGGGTGCCTGAGTGGCACAGTGAGTAAAGTATTTCACTCTTGATTTCACCTTAGGTCATCATCTCAGGGTCATGAGATGGAGCCTGGCATTGGGCTCTGTGCTTAGCATGGAGTCTGCTTGAGATTCTCTCTCCCTCTCCCTCTGGCCCTCCTGCTCGTGCATGCTCTCTCTCTAAAAATAAATAAATCTTAAAAAAAAAAAAGTATCTCAATTCTTGACTGATGGTTTGGCTAGATATAGAATTCTAAGCTGGGAGTTATTTTTCCTTCAGATTTTAAAGGACATTCCTCTGTTGTCTTTTACTGTTGTTGATATATCTGAATCCACTGTAATTCTTGATCCTTTAGCATGTGACTTATGTACCCAACTCCCCACTTGCCCCCAAGCTTGTGGAATCTTCTTTATTCTCAGTGTTCCTTGAAACTTACAACCATGTGCCATGGGTCTGTTTCCATCTATTGTGCTATGTTCTAATTGGATCCTTTCAATTTGGAAACTGGTATCACTCATGACATTTTTCTTGATCTCAGTCATCATTTCCTTTCCTGCTTGCCCCTTCTTCCACCCCCACTATTTTGTATTGCCAGAACTTCTAGTAGTTGAATGTTCAACTTCTAGTAGTTGAATTTCCTAGTGTAGACCTCTAATTTTCTTTTTTCCCCCCTCTATTCTTTTTGTTTAACTGTTAGGGATTTTATTAACATTGTCATCTAACCCTTCTATTGAGTTTTGCAGTTTGTATGGTGTTTTTACCTTTTGAGAATGCTTTTTATGGTCTCTGAATATTCTTTTTCCTAGAATTTTATTTTTGTTTCATGGTTACAACATCTTATATCTAAAGATAATGAGCTTTTGAAGTTTTCATCTTCCCGACTAGTATGTCTCGTCCAAGTTGCTTTTTTTCTATGTATTCTGGTCTCTAAGGTAAGAGGCTTTTCTATTTTGTTTTGTTTTTTATTTTGATTATCTGCTCATGATTAAAGGGCTTGGATTAAAAAGCTGATGAGAAGCCTTGAGCACATGGGTGAGGCTTGTAATCCTTAAACCTCACTGTAGGATGATCTGGGTGGCATGTTAGGGAATCCCTGTGGTTAGTACTCTTAGGTATTTTCTTTTCAGCAGGTCAGATTATTGAGAGAAGAGTACAGCAATATTCCGTTGCATAATAAGGGTACAGCTGCCAGCCTTCTTGGAATTGAGTTGGGGAGAAGGCTCTGAATCTCTTCATTCAGTGATCAGTGAGCATTTCATCACTTATTCCCTGTTTTCTTGTCCCCAAATATGTCAGGTGTCTTCCAGTCCAGAGACCCTCCATTTCACCATTTCTGGAGAATAAAGGTCTGGACATCTCTTGTGGGAGGGCTAATATCCTATCCCCTAGTGGCTTGGAGTGGAGGAATGACCTGAGGCAGTCAAATTTTAATGCACATACAAATCACCTGAGGATCTAATTAAAATGTAGGCTCTGATTCAGTAGGTCCGGCTGGAACCTGAGATTAAGCTTCAGGTAATGGTGGTGCTGCTGCTGGTCCAAGGTAGGATCACACTTTGGCTGACAAGGACCTAGGGATCTAACTGCTTTTGCTGACAGCTTTTCACCTAGTCCTCATTATTTTAGCTATACTCTCCACCACCACCACCACCACACCCGCCCAGTTCTAGAACTTCTGCTGTTACTGCCTCTTGTGAGGATGCTGCAGTGTACATGGGCTGAGTTCTCAGCTTTATCATGAATGATCTGAGGCACAGCCTTCTCAGGTTGGATAAGTTGGTTAACACTGGCCCATCTGCTTTCTGGCTTCCAAAATGTTGCCATTGTCTCCTTTTCCTGCTATCCTTGTGAAGTTATGTCCTTTAAAAAATTCTTGGGGCACCTGGCTGGCTCGGTCAGTGGAATGTGCGACTCTTGATCTCAGGGTTGTGAGCTGGAACCCCATGTTGGGTGTAGAGATTACTTAAAAAATAAAATCTTGGGGCGTGGGTGGCTCTGTTGGTTAAGTGTCTGCCTTCGACTCAGGTCATGATACTAGAGTCCTGGGATCGAGCCCTGCATCCAGCTCCCTGTTCAGTGGGGGGTCTGCTTCTCCCTCTCCCTCTGCCCCTCCTCCCTGCTTGTGTTCTCTCTCTCTCTCAAATAAATAAATAAAATCTTTTAAAAAATAAAAATCTTAAAAAATAAAATTAAAACTTTTTTCGTTTCAAGGGATTGTTCAGGAAGAGGCAAAATTAAATGTGTGTGTTCTGCCATATTTACCCTAACTATAACCATCTGCTAAAATATTTTTCTAAAGTTTGGTTATATCAGCATAAATAGAGCCTGATTTATGATAAATAACTGCTATTTTAAGCCTCTAGGTTTTTGCACAAGGAACATTCTCTACTTCTCTCTTCCTACTTTATCTGCCTACCAGACTCTTATGCAGTCTTTAAGACCCAGCTCAAATGGCTGGCCTCTGTGAAGCCCCTCAGTCCCCAAGCCACCAAAGCCTGTATATTCTCATGACTTTAACTCATAACCAGCTGCTTATATAGTGTTTCTTCCAAACAACTGAGCAAGCTCTTCAGGGCTAGGGCATGTGCCTTTGTAGCTCAGTGCTCAGGAAATAATAGGAGCTTGCAGCTGTTTAACACTTAGATTCTAAGTTCTGTGTGCATGTCTTTCTTCCCCCCTTCATTTTCTTTCTGTTCCCTTCATCTCTTCTTCTGTCTGTTAAAAGGTCATTATATTTATTATCTATTCTATTATCCAGTAAAAAAATTCATGTCCCATATTGTTAATCTACAAGTAAATAAGTGGAATAAATAATACTTCTCCATTTCTAAAACCTACCTCATTAAATAAAATAGATTTAAATATTATATAAACTCCATTTGATTTTTCTCCCCAGCTCTAAGTACTGTTCAAAGACAAACATTTCCTCAGCTCTAGATAAAGACATAATTCTTTTTTTTTTTAATAAGCTCTACACCCAATGTAGGCACCCCTAAGGACATAATTCTTATCAACTAATGGAATTATCTGTTGAAGGAGTTTGAATCTAAATTATTTAAATAAATTAAACATAAATTATTTTTTTAGTTTTAATGATAAAAAAATAAAATGTTTATAAAGGCGCCTGGGTGGCTCAGTCGTTAAGCGTCTGCCTTTGGCTCAGGTCATGATCTCAGGGTCCTGGGATCAAGCTCCACATCAGGCTCTCTGTTCAGCAGGAAGCCTGCTTCTCCCTCTCCCACTCCCCCTGCTTATGTTCCCTCTCTCACTGTGTCTCTCTCTGTCAAATAAAATAAAATCTAAAAAAAAAAAAAAAATTATAAATAAATAAATAAATAAATAAAGGTTACATGTCATCATTCACATTTCCAGCCTAGAAAACTCCTTTTTCAGAACAAATGTACTGCTGTCCAAATTTAACCAAACAGTATGTGGCCAACCCCATCCATAATCTAGTCTCTGATTTAAATAATGAAATCAAGGAAATTGCATAATCACCTGTTCACCATTCCCATCTCAGTGTGAGTTCCAGACAATGTGTCAGGTATTTTAATGTCTTGTAGTTCAAATGATTTTTCATCCTTTAAAAGAAACATAGAAATGTTCTTCAAGGGGCACCTGGGTGGCTCAGATGGTTGAGTGTCTGCCTTTGGCTCAGGTCATGATTTCAGGATCCTGGGATCAAGCCCCACATCAGGCTCCCTGCTCAGTGGGGTCTGCTTCTCTCTCTGCCTCTCCCCTCCACTCGTGCTCTCTCTTTCTCTCAAATGAATAAATAAAATCTTAAAAAAAAATGTTCCTCAAGTTGAAAATCTAGATAATAGTTGCATTATTTAACTCAAGAGCACATATAAGTAATTGGACACTAAGAAATTTTTAGATTATCTGCCATAAATATCTGTATTTTAATTGATTCAGTTGCAATTACACAGAATTTTGGAATTTTTGCTTAAATCTACATTTTTAGTGTTATTTTAAAAATATTTTTCACAAGTAGAAAGTAAATGGATTGTTGTTTAATTAATGTGGAATTTAGGGAAGTAATGGGTTGGTATTATATCATAAATATTCAATGAAGATTTTGAAAGTAAATTTTAGTATGTAATTCCCTAAAAACTGTTACCATTCTAAAATTTCTTTAATTTTGCAATTCACTATTTTGTTCTATATTTATTAATAACATAATCTCATTTATGTCCTATTACTCTATACATACGTATTTCAGAAATTATGAATACAAATTGGGATTCTGTCTAATCTTTTGTTCTTCATATTCTTTGATAACCAGGTATTGATTCTGACTTTTTAAGATGGATGAAGGTGTAGAAATTTCAAGTGATGGAAATTCCCTCATCAAAGCAGTCCATCAGAGCCGGCTTCGCCTCACAAGACTCTTGCTAGAAGGTGGTGCCTACATTAATGAGAGCAATGACCGTGGGGAAACCCCTTTAATGATTGCTTGTAAGACCAAACATGTTGATCACCAGAGTGTCAGTAAAGCCAAAATGGTTAAATACCTGTTAGAAAACAACGCTGATCCCAACATACAGGACAAATCTGGGAAAACTGCTTTGATGCACGCTTGCTTAGAAAAAGCTGGTCCTGAAGTTGTTTCCTTGCTCCTAAACAGTGGGGCTGATCTCAGCTTGCAAGACCATTCTAGTTATTCAGCCCTTGTTTATGCTATAAATTCAGAGGATAGAGAAACCCTGAAAGTTCTACTTAGCGCTTGCAAGGCAAAAGGGAAAGAGGTCATTATCATAACAACAGCTAAATCACCCTCTGGTAGGCACACTACCAAACAGTACTTAAATATGCCTCCTGTAGATATAGATGGGTGTCATTCCCCAGCCTCCTGTGCCACTCCTTCAGAAATAGACATAAAAACAGCCTCATTGCCACTTTCACATTCTTCTGAAACTGAAATGACACTTTTTGGCTTTAAAGGTCTGGAGCCCTCAGGAAGTAGTGATGATACACAGGACCCAGGCTCCCCTATGAGGAAGCCTGCTATGGCCTCTAATGGGCCCAAGCTACCCCAGGCTCCAACTTGGATCAAGAGTCCTCCCTTATTAATGCACCAAAACAGAGTGGCCTCCTTGCAAGAGGAGCTCCAGGATATTACTCCAGAGGAAGAATTATCCTACAAAACCAATGCGCTGGCACTTTCCAAGCGATTCATTACTAGGCACCAAAGTATTGATATAAAAGACACTGCACATTTGCTAAGAGCCTTTGATCAGGCCAGCTCAAGAAAGATGTCATACGATGAAATAAATCATCAGTCATTTTTTTCAGAAGGAAGCCAGCAATGCATTGAAATCCCTGCTGACCCAGATCCAGACTCTAACCAGACAATCTTTGCTTCCACCTTAAGAAGTATAATTCAAAAAAGAAACTCAGGGGCAAATCACTACAGCTCTGATTCCCAGCTCTCGGCTGGTCTTACCCCTACAACTCTAGAAGATGGCAAAGCACTTATAGGAAAGAAAAAAATCTTCTCACCATCTCCTTCCCTGTTGTCAGGGCCCAAAGAATTGCTGGAGAATATCTCACCAGGTCCCTTGAGCAGGAGAAATCATGCACTTTTAGAAAGGCGTGGTTCAGGAGCTTTCTCTTTAGATCACAATATTACTCAAGCCAGATCAGGATTTCTGCCACCCTTAAACGTGAATCCTCACCCCCCCATCTCAGATCTCAATGTCAATAACAAGATTTCCAGCCTCCTTTCTTGTAGTCAAAAAGTGCTTATGCCAACAGTTCCTATGTTCCCTAAAGAATTCAAAAGTAAAAAAATGTTGTTAAGGAGACAATCATTGCAAACAGAACAAATTAAGCAATTAGTAAATTTTTAAGAAATGGCTAGAAAGCACATTTTGTTCAAATGTCTACATCAGAGAAATATAGAACCAGAGAAGAAATCTCAAATGTCCATCCTTTTAAATCTTGTAATTGGTTAGTCCATAATTGTTAGGGGTATCAAAATGTACTGTGTATCGTACTAGGCACTGTGGACATACAAATAACATGTAGTTCCTACTAAGGAAATTCAACAAAATTAAAGCTATATTTCTCAAAACTCCTAATATTTAACAACCTTCATGTGGTCCAGGTTTTTAATTTAAACAAAAATCAGTTAAAAAAAAAAAAGGGCAAATATGTTGGAGATGACTTTAAAATTTTTTTCAGATTTCCCAGATGTTTTATTAGGAAACACTGCATTCAAGTCAATAAAAGTTTTTAACATTACAAGTCAATAAATAAGATTGTAATTTTCCATGATGCCAAAAGCATAAAAAAAACCCAAAAACAAAACAGTCCTATGATCAATAAGCCTATAAGGTATAAGGTATAAGGAAAGAATGAACTAATTCTTAAAACTGTTGATTGCAAGTATGTGAAATCTAATTAAAATTGTAAAAGGCCAACCATTATAGTAGACTGGGCAGCTAATATTCACGTTGTCAGCCTAATCAATGTCAAATAACAGATCAGAGTTTTACAAGCTAGTAATAATCTATGCTAAGTGTTGGCGTGTTGTTTTTTGCTTGGTTTTATTTTGTCTTTAATGTTATCTCATAGAATTCTTTCTTCATATCTTTTAATTCCTGTTATTATTTTTGAGGTCTATCTATAGGTTCCCAGTAACAAGATAAAACAAAAGTTTAAAAGCATTCCTCGTTACTTATATCAAATTATTCTTGTCTTTCTTACAGACAACCAAAAAAAACAAAACAAAAAACCCGGAGATTTATCACAAATAGAGACTATGTGCTTGCTTCATTTTAGAAAAGAAAAACTGATTATTAGATTCTCTTAGATTAGCTAAAATTAAGAAAGCCAATAGAAACTTACAGAATAGAAACAAAATACACTAAATATTTCGTCAAGATTAAATAATATCTCTTAATTTCTAACATAATTATTAAACATTTATATAATAAGGATAATAAGGATAATTTCCTTAGTGTGACATTCCAATCATCTAGTATTTAGGACCTGTGAATAACTTCTAACAAAATAAATGAATACCATGTTACTATTATAAAATGTTACAAAATGACTATATTATCTATATGATTTCAAAATGTGTTTATATAAAGAATCCTTATTTCAACCTAGCAGTTTCACAACAAAGAATAAGTCAAATTATATAAAACTGGAGTGCACTAATCTGATGACTGTCATATACAAGTTTATTTCTTTGCCTTCTATTAGTAGAGGAGATCCTAACAATTGGTATGATGCTTTTCTTGGTAATTTGATATAAGCAAGTTGTAATGTATATGGTAATTATTTAATGTTTTTGTGGCTTTTATTTGAAAAAAAATAATTGGAGGTTTTTCATTTAATGTTTTAAAGAACATTAATGTAAATTACATTAGAAATAGTTTTTGATTCAGAACTTAGAATTGTACCTGATGTTTATAGGTAGCTAAACCCTTTTCACAAGTTTAATATTGAGAAAAGTGCTTGGCTTTAAGTTGCAAGGATACAGTTTGGAGAAATATGTAAATATATTAGTTCATAAACAAAATGCTATCAATAAAAATTTTAAATGTTATTTTGATTATCATTTTTATTTATCTCAAATAGTAATGATAAATATTTCAACATAATCTCAAGAGAAATTGTGCCACATGTTACTTTGACTAAATAGAAAACTGAGAATAATTTTTGTTGCTATTCTAATCCCAACATGCAAAAAATATTTAATAGTACTAAACCTTTGTTGGCCATATTTGGAAGAGCTTTTAGTCTTCTCTCAATCCTGAAAACATTTTAGGGGCTAAGGTTGCCTGAGTTAGGTTGTAAAACCATCCTATGGGACTTTTCACTCCATTAAGTGGAGTATAACACTGGGCTCCCAATGGTAAGTCACATATGTTGGCAACAGGAGTCAGATATGTATATATGTGTTATATTTTAACATAAAAGTATGATTTAACTTTAATTTAAAGGTCTGATGACACTTCATGCATTAGTTTTACAGGTACCATTCTTAGTTACTTGTGGCTAGGACTTCCAAAGAGTACAGCTAATACTGATGCACAGCAAGGATAATTTGGGGGAGGATATAGGGCAGTCTTAGTTACAGAGACAAGTGCTGACAGTGTCCCATCCAAGCAGTGCCAAGGGAAGGTGATGAACACCTGCCTGGCATATTCTTTGGTAGAGATGTACCCATCAGTTATCCAGTACCTGGACCTTTTAAAATCTCAAATGATGACGCTCAGTCTGATTAAATACCATGTAGCCTTCTAGTAACTTGATTTCCATATAGTTTGTTTAAAGGAAGGAATGAACTTGTCAGGGTGGTGACAACTGTATTAATCATAGGGGTTTTTTGTTGGTGTTTTTTTGTTTGTTTGTTTGTTTTTTGTATTTTCTGATGCTTTGATATCTTGGGGCCTTGCTGACACTAGAGGGACCGCCCCTCCCAGGGTTAGCTAATTCCTAGGGATAGAAAACAATTTGCCCCAGAATGCATCTTTCATATGCAAACCAACCAACTCAGAGTCCATAGTCCAACCATCTCCTTTATCAGGCACTCACAGGGCTCTCAGGGCCACTACCCCCCTGTCCTGATCACCCCAGGGTCAGGTACCAAACAACCAGTGACAGCTCCCACATCCCAGAAACCACCAAAATTATTCAAACTAGCCAATCCTAAACCTGTTTACCTTGCCTCACCCCTTCCCTCCTACAGAAACTCTAATAAAGGGTCTGACTGACCCAGTTTTCCCCTCACTCCATCTGCAGGCAGACACTGGTGCTTCCCCACATTGGCCCTGTGTGATGTGGTATGCCTGCCTCTTCTTGGCAACTGTGAGTAACAAACTACATTTTCAATGTAACTGTCTCCTGTTGGCCTCAACATATGTGAATAATAAAACCTATATTTTTAAACAAGAAGGCACAGTCTACTTGGAAGTCATAATTCTTGATAAAATAATATTTGAGTTTATATAGCCTTGTTTAATGCCAATATTCCTTAGATCTAAGTCACATTTTTAAGTCATTTCTAAGTCACCAAGAGGGCCAGAACATGGACCATGATAAATCCACTAGAATTACTGGAGCTGGCCATTGGCCTTTCTAAGGTGACATCCTATCTCCTTATGACCTTCTTTGAATGTCTATAATTCTTTTTTTTTTAAGTGTATGTATGTATGTATTTATTTGAGTAATTTCTACGCCCAGTATGGGGCTTGAACACATTCCCCCTGACTAAGCCTGCCAGGCCCGCCTGAATGTCTACAAGTCTTTTTTTTTTTTTTATGATTTTATTTATTTATTTGACAGAGAGAGACACAGCGAGAGAGGGAACACAAGCAGGGGGAGTGGGAGAGAGAGAAGCAGGCTTCCCGCGGAGCAGGGAGCCTGATGCGGGGCTCAATCCCAGGACCCTGGGATCATGACCTGAGCGGAAGGCAGATGCTTAACGACTGAGCCACCCAGGCGCCCCTGAATGTCTACAAGTCTTAAAGGGAAGACCAGAAAAGGAAAATCTGGCAAGAGTAGTTAACAAATAACAACAAAAACAATTTAAAAGACTTAAAATTGGCTGGAACACTGGATCAAAGTGTAATTGTACTAAAACAGTCAAGATACTCTGCTGGGTCAGGATACAGGCACTTTCCCAATGCCAGGTTCTAGCATTATCCAGCATTATTGTTGAGTCTGCCTGATCTACTTTGCTAAAGCCTCATCTTCCGAGGCTGTCTTCCATCCTTTGCCTTCCTCCTAAAGAGAACTCCCTCTCATCTGCTTATCATGAGTAGGCTACATTTAGGTTTTGAAAATCAATTACTTGGTGCCTGGGTGGCTCAGTCGGTTAAGTGACTGCCTTTGACTCAGGTCATCATCTCCAGGTCCTGGGACTGAATCCCGCATTGGGCTCCCTGCTCAGCAAGGACCCTGCTTAACTGACTGAACCACCCAGGTACCCCAGTAGACAGTTTTTCATCAGTGACATCATCATTGTCATTGAGACATTTTAGAATGGCGCCTAGCATCATATACACACTTATTATCATCATCATAAATGTGTGGATAAGGAATTTGGGAAAACTGAAAAGATCAAATTGTTTGATAAATTGGTAAAACAATGGTTACAATTATATTCTTTTCCCTACAAATTTCCAAACAGTCATTTCTTTTATTCATCCCTTTTTTTAAAAGATTTTATCTTATTTACTTGCCAGAGGGAGAGAGCACAAGCAGGGAGAGCGGCAGGCAGAGGGAGAAGCAGACTCCCTGCCAAGCAGGGAGCCCGACGTGGGATTTGATCCCAGGACCCAGGATCATGACCCGAGTCAAAGGCAGACGCTTAACTGACTGAGCCACCCAGGCGTCCCTTATACATCCCTTTTAACTAAAAAAAAAATTTAAATATATCTTTGTACTGTTTGAATTTTTAAAAACCATATGTATTTTGTTCTATTTAAAAACCAATAGAACTACTTTTCAAAAATTAAATATATTTAGTCACAAATGTATTTAAATTTTAAATACATTAAATATATTTAAATGACACATTTTATAGTTAAAAAAACAATGCCTTGGGCGCCTGGGTGGCTCAGTTGGTTGGGCGACTGCCTTCGGCTCGGGTCATGATCCTGGAGTCCCGGGATCGAGTCCCGCATCGGGCTCCCCGCTCAGAGGGGGGTCTGCTTCTTTCTCTGACCCTCTTCCCTCTCGTGCTGTCTCTCATTCTCTCTCTCAAATAAATAAATAAATAAAATCTTAAAAAAAAAAAAAAACAATGCCTTTATTTTATTTTATTTTTTTATTATTTTTTAATGCCTTGATTTTAGAATGATTAAAGCAGAAATGGAATTAGCTTTTTATCCATATATGCTGAACAGTTAAAACTTCTGGAGACATAGGTTTTCAAACCTTACAGTCTCAGGACCTTTACCCTCTTAAAAAATGAGGACCCTAAGGGCTTTAAAAAAAAATCCAGGTTATATATTTCAGTGTTTGCTACATTAAAAATTAAACCTGGAAAGGGGTGCCTGGGTGTCTCAGTTGGTTAAGCATCCAACTCTTGGTTTCAGCTCAGGTCATGATCTCAGGGTCCTGAGATCGAACCCTGCATCCGGGCTCTGTGCTCACTGTGGAGTTGGCTTGAGATTCTCTCCCTCTGCCTCCCCCTACTCGTGCTCTCTTTCTCTCTTTCTTTCAAATAAATACATCTTTTTAAAAAATTTAAACCTGGAAAACTTTACAAACCCATTACATGTTAGCATAAATATTTTATGAAAAGTAACTCTATTACCCAAAATATATTTAGTGAAAAAAGTGGTATTGGTTTATGTTTTTGCAAATCTCTTTAATGTTTGGCTTAATAGAAAACAGCTGGATTCTCCTGTTTCTGCATTCAATCTGTTATAATATGTTGTTTTAGTTGAAGCATTTGAAGAAAATATGGCCTCACACAGGTATGTAATTGGAAAAGGAAGAAATAACTTAATAGGCTTTTCAGATAATTGTGGATAGTCTTCTTTGATACTATACTCCAACTCAGATAAGTGGTAGTTTCTTAAAAGGTTAGCTGTAATATGGAATCTGAAACCATGTCAATGAATTTCCATATTGTGTTACACTAAATTTCACTCTTCTGTCCTGCAATTTGAAAGGATTCCTTACTCATGCCCTGTCTTATCATATCATGCACTAGTTATTTGGAAAATAAAGACTCTTTGAGTCTTGCAGATCTTCCAAATATTGGCACATTTTTTTATATTACCACTGATATCAGAAAAAAAAAAAAGTCCTTAAGCATTGGGAATCAATCACAATGATTGATTCAAATTTATTCAAATTCTAATTTTTCATTATAAAACTTCAGGTTCTATCATTGGCAACAGATACTATCAGTTCTTTTCCTTGAAGTGACAAATCTGCTTTGTTCATTTTTGAGAAAATATTCGCCAAATACCCAAGATTGAATAATTAGTCTGTCAGTTGTTCTTTCAAGTAAATATTTTTTCCATGAAAAAAATGACTAGTTCTGTTTGCAACAAGTGCTTTTCTTTAGGACAACCATTGAATTTCAGTATACAGAAGGCCTGTCCTGTGTTTACCTCCCATTTCATCACACAGACTATTAAAGAGTCAAGATGTTAATCTTTTTTTAAAGATTTAAAAAAAATTTTTTAAGATTTTATTTATTTGAGAGAGAGAGAGAGAGCACGAGCAGGGGAAGGGGCAGAGGGAGAGGGAGAGGGACAAGCAAACTCCCAACTGAGCTGGGAGCCTGACACAGGACTCAATCCCAGGACCATAGGATCATGAACTGAACCAAAGGTAGCCGCTTAACTAGCTGAGCCAGCCAGGCACCCCTTTAAGAGATTATTTTTAAGTAATCTCTACACCCAACACGGGGCTCAAACTTACAACCCCCAAGACCAAGAGTCACATGCTCTACCAACTGAGCCAGACAGGTGCCCCAAGATCTTTTTTTTTAATTTAATTTAATTTTTTAATATTATTATGTTCAATTAGCCAGCCAGCCATCATTAGTTTTTGATGTAGTGTTCAACGATTCATTAGTTGAGCATAACACCCAGTACTCATCACCACACATGCCCTCCTTAATACCCATCACCCAGTTACCCCATTCCCCCAACCCCCTCCCTTCTGTAACCCTCAGTTTAGTTCCCAGAGTCTAGAGTCTCTCATGGTTTGTCTCCCTCTCTGATTTCTTCCCATTCAGTTTTCCCTCTCTTCCCCTGTGGTCCTTCACGCTATTCCTTATGTTCCACATATGAGTGAAACCATATGATAATTGTCTTTCTCTGCTTGACTTCTTTCACTTAGCATAATCCCCTCCAGTTCCATCCATGTCGATGCAAAAGTTGGGTATTCATCCTTTCTGATGGCTGAGTAATATTCCATTTTATATATGAACCACATCTTCTTTATCCATTCATCTGTTGAAGGGCATCTTGGCCCCTTCCACAGCTTGTCTGTCGTGGACATTGCTGCTATGAACATTGGGGTGCATGTGCCCTTCTTTTCCCTACATCTGTATCTTTGGGGTAAATACCTAGTAGTGCAATGGCTGGGTCATAGGGTAGCTCTATTTTTAACGTCTTGAGGAATATCCATACTGTTTTCCAGAGTGGCTGTACCAGCTTGCATTCCCACCAACAGTGTAAGAGGGTGCCCCAAGATCTTAACTCAGGGATGTTAATCTTGACTCAGCATCAAAAATTAATAATTTTTGCCAAATCAGTGATGATACTTCTAAGTCTTTTTTTTCCTTTTTAATGTGAGTGGTGGCAGTGAAGAATATGATTACTAGTTGATGCCATGAACTTGATTTATACTAAGGCATCAACAATTTAACCTACCATTGTTTTTCCAACATCAGTGTAAATGTCAACATGAGACAGGCAAATGCTGTTATTTGTGAATAATAACAATTTCACAAATGGTTCTGACCTCATGAATCTCCTAAAAGCATCTCAGGGGGACTGAGGGGTTTGTGAGCCACACTGTAAGAACAACTTGTCTAAAAAATTACTGAGGTTTTGTGCCATCCATCCATCCATCCACCCATCCATCCATCCATCCATTTGTTAAGGGCCTATTCTGACCAGAAATCATATTAAAATGAATAGTTTCTTCCTCTAAAACAACACAGCTGAGAACAAAACACAAACCTGTAGAATAATTATACTCTAGCAGAGAAGGTGCCTCAGGAGAAAGCCTACAGGTCTGCCTGGGGAAGTCACAAAAGACTCCTTAAGGGAACCCTGGTTTATGGCTGAACTCAATAGGCTCTGTGAAAAGATCATGCCTTTCTACTTCAAACCAAAGTTTTTGATTAGCTCTTGAATTCACAAAGTAGCAACAGACTCTCACAGTCATCATTTCAGTTAAATTTTTTGAACTCTTATTACATTCTTTTATCCCAAGGAAAGGATAAAGAAGAAAGAGGCAATGACCAGCCTTAATGAACATTCTGTAGCAGCAAGCAAACCCAAAAGAGCTCAGCCATCAGATTTAGTCAGACTGGTCTCTTTCTTGGGCAGAAACAGAAACAAGAACCTCCCTAGAGGGCAGGAGGCTGACTGAGCCCCTTTCAAGCCCTGCCTGTTTTCTCTCTTCACTGACAGTGGGACTATGGAAATAGTTTTCTTATTTAAAATTACAGAATAATTAAAATATGTAGTAAAGTAGCAATTATTTGGGGGGGATCTTTAAAAAACTGGTCAAATTAAATAAAAAAGAGCATCCTTCCTAATGTTAGAGTAAGAGGTAAGTGCGTTAAGGGGCAGGCAGATGGGGTTTTGAGTTTTCTTTCCAATTTGGTATAAAGGAGCAATATCAACAAATCACTGAGAAATATGGCTACACTTGGACTCTGTCCTATCCTGTTTGGGTTAGTAGCAGCACCTGACCCTCTGTTACTTAATCGAAAAAACGCATATGCTAGACTTTTCCCTCTCTCCCATACTCCCCATTCAACTAGTTTAAAAACTCTTACAAATTCTTCCTTCATAACCTCTTTCCTCTGTCTCTTGAGCATTTCCATCCCCATTTGCAATCACCTTACTTCAGGGCTTCATCTCCTTTCACTTCAAGAATGCCAAATCTCGGGGCGCCTGGGTGGCTCAGTTGCCTGGGTGTCTGCCTTCGGCTCGGGTCATGGCCCCGGGGTCCTGGGATCGGGCCCTGCATTGGGCTCCCTGCTCAGTGGGGGGCCCGCTTCTCCCTCTGCCTCTGCCTGTCTCTCTCTCTCTCCTTCTGTCAAATAAATCAATAAATTAAAATTTAAATTTAAAAATTTAAAAAAATAGAATTTCAAATCTCCTTCTCATGCCATTGTAAACACATTTCTAACACTCAAACTGATAATAAGGCTCCCGTACTTAAAATGGTGTAATGATTCCTATGACCTACGAGAAAAGAAGCAAATTCCTCAACTCAGAAAGTTAATCTGGTCCCTGCATAAATGCCCAGCCTCATAGTATGGTGCCTCTACATACTTTCTGAACAGGTCAGGTCAGTCTCTTTCCCACTTAGAGTTCCTTTGCTCGTGTGCTTATGTCTGAAAGGCCCTTCCTCCTCTTAGCCTACCCAGTGAATCTTGCTCATCACTCAAGACACAACTTAGGTGTTTCCTCTCAATTTGAACAAAATGCTGTCTGTCACCATGACCTGGTATATAGTTCCATCATAGTGGCAAATATACAACTTATTGTTTACGGGTCTCTCTCCCCTACCTAGACTGTAAGATCCTTGAGGTAGAAGTTGTTTCTGAATTACTTGTACAGCCTCAGCACATCAGACACTAGTTAAATGCCTGTCTCCTTCCCTCCACGCAGTACTCCCCAGTGAGCCCTGAAGACACAAATGACTAGATAAATTACAGTCCCTGGATGGTAGGTACAAAGAAGAGAGAGAAGCAATCACAGTCACAAGTAAAAGAATGACACTGATGTGGAACACTAGACACTAGAACAAAGACCCTGAGCTCCTGCTGCTGAGGTCCCAAGAACCCCTGCATCCTGCCCCGCTTCTTCCAAGACCTGGTTATCAGACCTTCTTGGTTTCGCTCATTCATTATACTCCCATTTTCTAGATAATAAAAAGTTCTTTAGTACTACTATCTTCATCTTTCTACCATTCAACTATTTTCCTGGCATTGATTCATGAATATATGATTATAAGCAGAGTGTAAGCTCCAACTAGGCAAGCTCATATCTTAAATTTCAAGGTGAGAGATAGGGCATTTTTCTATATATTCACTAGGTACTTAAGTTTTTGTAATTACAAGGAAAAAATCTAAGACCCTAGCTCCAATAAACAAGCAAATAAGCAACCTGTTCTGAATAACTTTTAACAATTTCCCACTTGATAAATGAGTACATATCTGACTAAATAGTAATTACATCAAATTTACAGGGCCATAAACTACTGTACTTTATAAAGCTGATTTTTTGAAAAATTGGATCTCGTACCAAAGTCTCTTCTAGGACCAGGAGTATTCTGCCAGGCTTGGGAAATAGCCCTCAGATGCTATGGGTTCTCAACACCAATAAGTTAGACTCGAGAACCTGGAGGGGAAAAATAGGTTATACTTATTTTGTGTCTGGGACCTTCTTCCCAAATATTTTCCTATGTCTACAAATGCACATAAAGACACACAATTTTACATAAATAGTATGATACCAGACATCTGTTTTGCTGCCTGTAATATAACATCTTTCCATATTAATAAATGTAGATTCTCTGTGTTTATATACTATTGTATTGCATTCTTATACATTAAGGCCTTTATATCATTATTATTTATTAACCAAGTTATGAAGTGTCTGTTCTTTTGCCTATTTTTGACTGGATTGTTTAGCTTCTTTTTAAAGATCAGTTTATAGGAGTTCTCCACAGATTCTGAGTATGTCCTTTGTCAAATATGTGTTAATGGTGTCTTTTGATGAGAAGTGTTAAATTTTGATAAAGCCCATTAATCAATGTTTTTCTTTTATGATTAATGTTGTGTTATAAGAAATCATTGCTAGGGCACCTGGATGGCTCAGTTAGTTAAGCATCAGACTCTTGATTTTGGCTCACATCATGATCTCAGGGTTGTGAGATTGAGCCCCGGGTCGGGCTCCACACTGGACGTGGAGCCTGCTTAAGATTCTCTCTTTCCCTCTCCCTCTGCCCTTCTCCCCAACCCCCAAAATAATTTCAAAAAAAATCATTGCCTTGGGTGTGGAGAAATAGGGAAAAACTGGAAATATCTGATACTTTCATATGTCAATTATACCTCTATAAAGCTGAAATTTATCTTTTATTTTTTTATAAAGCTGAAATTAAAAAAAAGAAACTATTGCCTACTCCCAAGTCATGAAAACATTCTCCTTTATTTTCTTCTAAATGCTTTCGTTTTAGTTTTCACATTTGGGCCTAAGATCCAACTCAAATTATCATATGCATATGGTGTGAAGTAGGGATCAGTTACTTTTTTCTGTGTGAATATCCATTAAAAATTTATTTTTCAGGGGTGCCTGGGTGGCTCAGTCATTAAGCATCTGCCTTCGGCTCAGGTCATGATCCCAGGGTCTGCGATTAAGCCCCGCATTGGGCTCCCTTCTCAGCGGGAAGCCTGCTTCTCCCTCTCCCACTCCCCCTGCTTGTGTTCCCTCTCTCGCTGTGTCTGTCAAATAAATAAATAAAATCTTTAAAAAAAATTATTTTTCAATAGAATACATTTTATGATTCCCTTATATATATTTGTTCCCAAGATTGATTTAAAATACACCTTTAAATCTTTTTTTTTTTTTAAGATTTTATTTATTTATTTGACAGAATAGCGAGAGCAGGAACACAAGCGGGGGGAGTGGGAAAGGGAGAAGCAGGCTTCCCGCTGAGCAGGGAGCCCGATGTGGGACTCGATCCCAGGATCCTGAGATCATGACCTGAGCCAAAGGCAGACGCTTAATGACTGAGCCACCCAGGCGCCCTAAAATACACCTTTAAATCTTAACCTAAGTAATAATCAGCTGATAAATTTCTCAATATAAAAGCATTTTGCCTTAAGACTAATATTTTTTTAAATATTATCAAGGGTCATGGGGTGCCTGGATGACTCAGTTGGTTAAGCATCCGACTCTTGATTTCGTTCGGCTCAGGTTGTGATTTCACGGTCATGGGATTGAGCCCTGTGTCAGGGTGTGGAGCCTGCTTAAAATTCTCTCTCTCCCTCTCCTTCTGCCCCTCCACCCCCTCTCTAAAAAAAAAAAAGTATATATATACACACACACACACACACATATATATATATATAATGTGTGTGTGTGTGTGTGTATTATCAAGGGTCAGATAATCAAGTAGCAAAAATAATCTTCTGGACAAATGACTTTTATTTAAAACCTCATTAAAATGCAGTTCATTTACAAATTCAATTTTCTTTATAAAAGTAAAGCGTGGTCATTTTACAAAATTTATAAAGTAAACATTAATTTTTACTATAATTTTAAGAGTTAATCTTTGTTGCTATTGTTAAAATTTTATAATTATAAAATTGCATCTTTTGCTTTTGGCAAACAACCATAGAAAGTGAAGTTTTAGGTGTTATTTGACAAATGGCACTGCATTTAGTTGGAGCTAAAATTTAAAGTGGAAATATAATTGTCTTCTTTAAATATATGTCTACAATGTTTCATGTTATACCCCTTACTGTTCTCTATCTATCTACAGTGGATATGATCATGTGATAAGTCTAGAAGAAGGGAACTAACTTTGTAGAGTACTTGCTATGTGTTGAGCATTGAGCTAGATGCCTCTATTCCATGAATCTCAATCTTCATAACAACTCTTCAAAAGAATCCTCATTTTCCCTCCATTTTATAGATGAGGAAACCAAGATTCAATGAGGTTAAATATTTCCCAAAATCTATAGCTAGGAAGGGACAGAGATGAGGCTGTAAAGGAAGTCTGTCTCAATTTAAAACCCAAGCTCTTTTCTCTATAAACTACTGTTCTCTGGGAGAAAATGGTTGACAAAGGCAAATTATATATCTTAGGATATTCATTGGTAAGTTTCTTTTCAATAATGAAAGAAGTAACGTGTTTTTCTGAATACCTTGCTCAAGACTATGGCACACACTATAAAGGACAGTTAAGAATGTTCCCTTACCATGAAGGACTTTATATAACCTAGCTGAGCAGATAAAACTAACATTTATGACCTAATTAGTGAACAATATCAAATAGTTAAAATTAACTGTTAAAGATCTGGAGACTGTTGTTGTAGGCATTTTTGAAATGATGACTGTGCTGAAGGTCACTGAGTTGATGTTTAGAGTGGGCTACATTATGAAGGATCTTGAAAGAGTAAAATTTAATTAAGTGGCATTTAAGAGACCCCTGGAGCTTTCTGATTTGGCAAGAGGTGCTTACAAAAGTTTTCTTCAACAGAAATACTCAGGGCATCTCTGAGTAGAATGTGAACAATGAAGTCATGAAGAACTTTTTAAGATTCTAGCAGTAAAACAAGGGCCTGAACTAAGGTGGTGCCGGTGAGGAACTTGAAAATCAAATGATATGTTACTAGGATTAAAATTCTGCTCTCCAGGGGCGCCTGGGTGGCTCAGTCGTTGGGCGTCTGCCTTTAGCTCAGGTCATGATCCCGGGTCTTGGAATCGAGCCCCGCATCGGGCTCTCTGCTCGGTGGGGAGCCTGTTTCTTCCTCTCCTGCTCCCCCTGCTTGTGTTGCTGCTCTCACTAGCTCTCTCTCTGTGTCAAATAAATAAAATCTTTTTTTTTTTAAAGATTTTTATTTATTTAACAGAGAGAGAGAGAGAGAGCACAAGTAGGCAGAGAGGCAGACAGAGGGAGAGGGAGAAGCAGGCTCTCCGCCAAGCAGGGAGCCTGATGCAGGGCTCGATCCCAGGACCCCGGGATCATGACCTGAGCTGAAGGCAGCCGCTTAACCAACTGAGCCACTCAGGCGCCCCAAATAAATAAAATCTTAAAAATAAATAAATAAATAAATAATTCTGCTCTCCAGTAATATTGTACTTACTATAGATAAAATACTATGATTGAAACAAAGAATATAAACAACATATATAGTTGTCAGCATGCTCCCAACAATATGGAAATTCTAGATCCATCTAATTTAATCTATATTGTTTTCAGTAAATGGATTTTATTCTGTTATGAGAAAGCTGCTCACCTCTGTGAAAATTATAACATTTTTAAAGGCCTCTAACTTTTCCTTAGTCTCTGAAATAACAAGTTCTCCAGGAAAAAAGAAAGAGGGTGCCACAAATTTGTGGAATCTCTGTAATGTAAGGCCAACCAAAATGTGATTTATACCTGTATCACATGTAATGCGATTACAGGTTATGACATGTAAATTCTTTCAATTATCTTCAGCATATCAAAATTACATTTTATAAAGGGGTTTAAAGCATAATTTTCCTAAATTATTATTAGACCAGGCCCACTGAAATCTCTTCTTTCCAAATCTTTGAAGTACAAACGGTATCATAAGGGCATAGGCCTAAGAAAGTAAGCACTAAGTGTTTTTTGATTAGATGAATTAAAGCATAAATCAATCATCACAATTTATATGGTAATTAATTCAGACCAAAGCAGAGGATTATGAAACCAAAACATGAAATAATTTAGAAGAATCTTCTTAGAGATTAACTTTGACTCCAATGGCTTGTTTAAATTCATGGTTTTGTGGTTCCAAGATGTCATAGAAAACTTGTTTTTTGTCAAAATGGTCTCTAATGCAAAGTAAATCTTCAATGGAATAGTTATCATTTTTCCCAGTCCAAATAGTCAGGCTGTACCTGCATTAAAATAAAACAGAATTTTGTAGTGAAAAGTAAAAGATAAGAAACAGTGATGAGGAATTCCAATAAGCCTAAAAATAGTTACTCTCATTTATCTTTAACCCAAATTCACACAGACAAAAAAATTAATTAGCAGTGCTGGAACATATAGTTCCTGTTTCAGTCCTTCATGAACATCAAAAGGACTAGAGAGAAAAAACCACACATTGCCATCATCTAAATTAGGTAACTGCTATATCTGAATTACAGGAATGGGAAATGGCTTTGGAAACCCAGACTGGTAACACTGAAAACGGGCCGAATTTTGGACAAAAAAACTGAAGAGATTGTATTGCTGATCAAGGAATCTGTTCTCTACACAAAACCTACAGCTCTAACTTGGGTTTTTTTCAGTAGGCTGGGTAGGGTCAAAGGCATGACTACAAGGGATTATGAAGAGACACTAATGTCAATGACATTACCAACATTCATATTCACTTTCAAGTGGTCCCACTCTCCCTTCTGAGGGGAGGGAGGTTGTATGAGATATAAGAATGCCAAGAGATGTCACTAAGGATGCCAAACAAATTTAGATCCATTTCTGGGCATTAAAAAAGCAATAATAACATATGCAGATTTATCATGGATGTTAAGAACATACTCAGAATTTTAATGTTATTTAAGTTGTGTATTTTCATTTCTTCCAGTAGACATTACTTCTATTACAATACTCCTATTGCATCAGTCTAAGAAAATGCAAAGCT